GACGCACCAATACACTGGGCCCGTAGACATTTGAGGCCCACCCATCATGGACAAGGAAGCAAAACAAATGAGTCACAGAGGACTAACGGCCACGACTTTGACAGCAGCGTAAAAATCCCTGTTGATGTGAAATCGTGCGGCCACAACGCACGCGCGCCGCGAATGCCCCTGGAATGGCGGGTACTCTACCAGGCTTTATATGTTAGATTAGATACATACACTAGAGGATAAAAAAGATGATGTCATTCTAGATTCTCTTTATTCAAAAATTTAAAATGTTTTGTAGCTCAAACCGTCGGTCCGGTGTAAAAATGTTTTTACATAAAAGATTCGTCGCGACGAGATCTTCGAAACTAGATCCCATGTTGACATGTTCCGATGATTTTTTTAGCCAAAATTTACCATGCCTTTTATATGCAAGTTCTGTGCTATTTTCACATAAGTTATCGGAGGCATAAAATGGTTCACCGACACTGCAGTTCATATATTACCATGATGTATTCATATAAGTTATCGTGCATGTGGTTCTTATATTACCATGTTGTTTTTAGGCCTGCGGTTCGTATATTACCATGCTCTTTGGTCAATGTTATAGCGATGCTTGTACATGAGTTATCAGCCGCGGTTTATATATTACCATGATGTTTAATGGGGGGGGTATTTTTAACATTTTTTCCCGCTTGATCAAAGTTACTGTGGTGTTTGTATGCAGGTATGTGAGGCGTATGTAACCATTCTATTTACACAAAATTTACGGGGTATGTTTTCAACAATTTCTCCACCGAGTAAAATATTACCATGGTATTTGTAGGTAAGTTATCAGGTATGCGGTGGGTATATTACCATGGCTATCTTTTCAAAAAAAAATCTCCAGACCGAATTTACCGCGGTGTTTGTACCTAAATTATCAAGATTGTGGTGTGCAATTTACTATGTTGTTTACATACAAAATCTACCAGTGTATTTTTCGACCACTTTTTACTACTCTTCCCCAAATCAAGATTATTACCGTGATATTTACACACAAGTTACCGGGGTATATTTTCAACAACTTCATCCACCCAAATCAAACTTATCATGGTGTTTGTGAGTAACTTATCAGGTCTGCAATGCGTACATTACCATGCTATCAAACAAAATTTACCAACGATATTTTTCCAACTACTTTTTCCGTGGGTCAAAGCTAGAGTACTGTTTTTGCGTAAGTTTTTGTATCTACAGTAAATACATTACCGTGCTATTTACCTAGAAGTTATTGGGGGTAATGTTCTTCAACGAAAAAAATTCAGGGTCAACAAGTTATCATGGTGTTTGAACAAGAGTTATCAGGTCTCCGGTGGGTAAATTATCATGTTATTACACATAAGTTACCGAGGGTTTACTTTTCAATAACTTCCTCCATCCGGGTCAAAGTTATCATGGTGTTTTTGCTTAAGTTTTCAAGTTTGTGGTGCGTATGTTACCACGATGTTTACACAAAATTTACCGAGGGTACGTTTCCAACAATTTTTTCCCCTAGATCAAAATTAACGCGATGTTTTTGTGTAAGTTATCATGTCTGCAATGTGTATACTACCATGCTATTTGCATAGAAGTTACCAGGATTTGTCTTCAATAATGTTTTTCTGGGGTCAAATTTACCATGTGGTGTTTTTACGTAAATTATCAGGTATGTCGTGCATAAATTACCATAATATTTACACAGAAGTTATAAATGATATATTCTTGTAATATTTTATTTCGGGTTAAAGTTGTCATGGTGTTTTATGCGCAAGTCGGTAGGTCTTAAAATGTAGTACAAGTGATCTACTAGAAAAGCCTCTGAAATGATGTAAAAGTATAAGAACAGAGAGACATATAACCTCAGTTGTACTACTGAAATGATGTAATGTCAAGCGTCTGAAATAGCATGAGTTTTCATAACTTTTACATCATTAAGGTTTAGTATAGAATATGGGGATTTTTAGTAGTAAGTGTCAAAGTCTTTAGTAGTATAAACCTCAAGTTCAAAGGCTTTTAGTACTGTTTGAGGTTCTGAAACTTGTTCTTTAGTAGTGTATGAGGTTGAGAGGTTCTTTATGTTGGGGAACGTAGCAGAAATTCAAAAAATTTCCTACGTATCACCAAGATCTATCTATGGAGAGACCAGCAACGAGTAGAAAGGGAGGAGAGTTTGCATCTACATACCCTTGTAGATCGCTAAGCGGAAGCGTTCAAGTGAACGGGGTTGATGGAGTCGTACTCGTCGTGATTCAGATCACCGATGATCAAGTGCCGAACGGATGGCACCTCCGCGTTCAACACACGTACAGCCCGGTGACGTCTCCCACGCCTTGATCCAGCAAGGAGAGAGGGAGAGGTTGAGGAAGACTCCATCCAACAGCAGCACAACGGCGTGGTGGTGGTGGAGGAGCGTGGCAATCCTGCAGGGCTTCGCAAGCACCTACGGGAGAGGAGAGTAACTTGGGAGAGAGGGAGGGGCTGCACCAAAGGCATAAGGTGTGTTTGGGAGGCCCTCCTACCCCACTATATATAGGGATCCCAAGGGGGGGTGCGCCAGCCCCTAGGAGATCCAATCTCCAAGGGGGCGGCGGCCAGGGGAGGAGTCCTCCCCCCCCCCCCAAGGCACCTAGGAGGTGCCTTCCTCTGCTGGGACTCTTCCTTTAGGGTTTCCCCAGGCGCATGGGCCTCTTGGGGCTGGTGCCCTTGGCCCATGTAGGCCAAGGCGCACCCCCTACAGCCCATGTGGCCCCCCAGGGCAGGTGGCCCCACCCGGTGGGCCCTCGGGACCCTTCCGGTGGTCCCGGTACAATACCGATGACCCCGAAACTTGTCCCGATGGCCGAAACAGGACTTCCTATATATAAATCTTTACCTCCGGACCATTCCGGAACTCCTCGTGACGTCCGGGATCACATCCGGGACTCCGAACAACATTCGGTTAACCACATACAAGCTTCCTTTATAACCCTAGCATCATCGAACCTTAAGTGTGTAGACCCTACGGGGTTCGGGAGACATGCAGACATGACCGAGACATTCTCCGGTCAATAACCAACAGCGGGATCTGGATACCCATGTTGGCTCCCACATGTTCCACGATGATCTCATCGGATGAACCACGATGTCAAGGACTTAATCAATCCCGTATTCAATTCCCTTTGTCTATCGGTATGTTACTTGCCCGAGACTCGATCGTCGGTATCCAATACCTTGTTCAATCTCGTTACCGGCAAGTCACTTTACTCGTTCCGTAACACATCATCCCATGATCAACTCCTTGGTCACATTGCGCATATGATGATGTCCTACCGAGTGGGCCCAGAGATACCTCTCCGTTTACACGGAGTGACAAATCCCAGTCTCGATCCGCATAAAACAATAGATACTTTCGGAGATACCTGTAGTGCACCTTTATAGCCACCCAGTTACGTTGTGACGTTTGATACACCCAAGGCACTCCTACGGTATCCAGGAGTTACACGATCTCATGGTCAAAGGAAGAGATACTTGACATTGGCAAAGCTCTAGCAAACGAACTACACGATCTTTGTGCTATGCTTAGGATTGGGTCTTGTCCATCACATCATTCTCCTAATGATGTGATCCCGTTATCAACGACATCCAATGTCCATAGCCAGGAAACCATGACTATCTGTTGATCACAACGAGCTAGTCAACTAGAGGCTCACTAGGGACATATTGTGGTCTATGTATTCACACGTGTATTACGATTTCCGGATAATACAGTTATAGCATGAATAAAAGACAATTATCATGAACAAGGAAATATAATAATAATACTTTTATTATTGCCTCTAGGGCATATTTCCAACACTTTAGCGTATGAGATTCAGTAGTAAAAGTTTTCAAACCTAATTTCAGCAGTACAAATAAGGTTCTTTAGTAGTATACTAGTATAGTGTATGACTTTTCAGTAGTTCATTTGTATTCTACTAATTAAAAAAATATCATACGACCAAGCGTCAAGTTCAGAGGTTCTTAGTATAGCATGAGCCAAGCGTCAAGTTTCAGTTTCAGAACAACTAGTTTAGACTGGACTGTCAACTTTCAGTTTTAGAACAACAAGTTCAGACTTAAAACGTATAGGAAGAAGAAGTGCTCTCGTCAGAAACCACATAGGCAGGTGAGTCGTATGCTTGATCAACGCACCAGGAGGAGTAACGATCAAGCATTAATAAGAGGTAAAAAGGATCTCTGCTATTTGGTGATGGTTTGATGAGGATGTGGAGTGGTAATGCCCAGTTTTCAGTTAAGAAAATATTGCTTTTCTTCACAAGTTTCAGATATAAGGCCACGAGACAGATAACCTCACCACCGTCCACTGCTTTCAGTACGAAGCGTGCTGCTCGAGCCGCCTGATAATTTTGGCTCGGCTGTGTCTCTCTCTGCCTCCCGGTGGAAAGCCCGTTTCCACAACGGCATGTGCGTGCGTGCATGAACGATTTCATCAGGAAAATAAGGCCATGAACGACGACGACCTGGGACGCGCGGAAGGCGGCGTCGTGCAACTACAGCGGGCGCGCCGGCCCCGCGCCGGCCGCGCGTGGCGGAGGTCCAGATGCTGCACTGTCTCCCACTCCATCGCGCCGCCGTGGAGCATCAATCAGGAAGGTCACGCCGGGGGATCCCGTCCCGTCGCTGGCAGGACGAAGGAGGAGCGGGGCGACGGCTGTGTTGCCTTCAGGAGGAAGGAAAAGCAAGCCGACGGGCCTACTCTTCGGGAGGAAGAGTGGATAGTGGCCTCGTTTGTGGATGGAAGGAGGCCCGGGCGTCGGGGCAGTTGGGATGCAGTCGCACGAAAGATTGTGGTGGGCGTTCTGGGCGTTCGAGCAAAAACTTGTGCGTCGCGTGATCCAAATCGAACAGCACCTGATGCGTTAGGTCGTTTTTGCAATCTGCCACACGGTTGCCACATACATATTTCGTTCTTAGTTTGATGGAAATCATTTTTCTTTCTTTTTCTGTTGCTCCTCCATCCATGCATGCGTGCTCGAGTGATAGCTTCTTTTATACCAGTATATATATATATATATATCTTGTAAAAGAAGATAATGCAGAAGCAGCTGGCAATTGGAACTCTGGTCAATTACTGGATATAATTTCATTCAGCGAGTGTGCACTGTGCAGTGTCTATTAAAAGAAACTAATTATATATGCTCCAACCATTGAACATAAAAAAAATGAAACCATCGAGGCATAAGATAAAAGAAAAGCCAGAAATAAATTTAAAAACTGAGCACTCCCAGTCTGATCTGATCAAGACACTCTTTTCTAGGGATCTGGGCAAGACACTTGAGCGACAATCATATATGGTTGACTCATGTCATTAGTTAGCGCCTTCCTGCCATGTTGCACTTCCTAACACTGCATTGCTGCCATGTTGCAACGAGCCGAGGATAACGGGGCATGGAAGCGTGGAGCGGCGGTTGCGGGGGGCGCCTCCGTCCTTCCCGCGCGCGTGGCCGTGGCCGTGGCCTCTCGCTCGCCTCCACCATTTCTGGGTCGCCCCCGCCTCTCCCTCGGCCCGAGACACCACGCGCTCGGCCGGACATCCATGCCCATGGGGCCGCGCCTCCTGCAGCACTACCGCTCCCGCTCCGCCTCCTACGCGCGCTCCCCGGACGCCGACGCCCTCCACGGCAGCCCCGGCCCCGGCACCGCGGCCGCCGCCGACGCCCTCGACTGCCCCTTCGGCCACCTCCATGGCCTCTCCCGCGCCGACGTCCGCGAGGCCGCCTACGAGGTCTTCTTCATGTCCTGCCGCGCCGGCGCCGGCGGCAGCGCCAAGGGCGCCGCGTGGGACGGCGGGGAAGGCGGGGACGCCTCGCCCAGGATCGGCGCGGGGCCCAGGGGCGGCACCGGGATGAACGTCGTCAACAGCCGGGTCAAGCGCGCGCTCGGGCTCAAGGCGCGCAGGGCCACGCAGCCGTCCACCGCCCTGCGCAGCGGCAGCTTGAACGCCTCGTCCGCGCCGGGGTCCCCCGGCCGCGCCGTGCGGGCGCCGGCCGGCTCGCCCAGGGCCAGGCGGCCCATGACCTCCGCCGAGATCATGCGGCAGCAGATGCGCGTCACGGAGCACGGCGACGCGCGCCTCCGAAAGACGCTCATGCGCACCCTCGTCGGACAGGTCCGTTCATGCACCGCCATTGACGCGCCGGTTTCGTGCAATGCATGTGTTCGATACTTCGATCAGATTTCATGTACGTTCTGAATGGAAATGCAGGTGGGAAGAAGAGCGGAGACGATCATCCTGCCGCTGGAGCTGCTGCGGCAGCTCAAGCTGCCCGACTTCGCCGACGGCGCCGAGCACCACCAGTGGCAACGCCGCCAGCTCAAGCTCCTCGAGGCGGGCCTCATCCTGCACAGCTCCGTCCCGCTCGACCACCGCCACAGCGCCTCCGTGCTCCGGTTCCGCGAGGTCATGGAGGCAGCCGAGGCCCGCGCCATCGACACCGGCAAGGCCTCCGACGCCATGCGCGCCCTCTGCGACGCCGTGCTCGCGCTCGCCTGGCGCTCCGCCCCCGCCGGCGAGGCCTGCCACTGGGCCGACGGGTACCCTCTCAATGTGCTCCTCTACGTCTCCCTCCTCCAGGGCATCTTCGACCTTAGGGACGAGACCGTCGTGCTCGACGAGGTGGACGAGCTCCTGGAGCTCATGAGGAGGACGTGGGCGACGCTCGGCATCAACCGGATGCTGCACAACGTGTGCTTCGCTTGGGTCCTCTTCCAGCAGTACGTGGCCACCGGGCAGGTCGAGCCGGACCTCGCCGGCGCGGCGCTCGCGGTGCTCGCGGAGGTGGCCGCTGACGCCGGCGCCAGGCAGGACAACCCACGTGACCCCGTGTACGCGCGGGTCTTCTCCACCGCTCTTGGCGCGATACGTGACTGGTCCGAGAAGCGCCTGCTTGACTACCACGAATGGTACGGGAATGGCGGCACCGGCACCTGCACCGCGGCGTTGGAGTGCGCTCTGTCTTTGGCGCTCGGCGCCGGCAAGATCATCGCCGAAAGTGTGCACGCGGATCACGAATGCGGCGGCGATCGCGTCGATTACTACATCCGTTGCTCGATGAGAAGCGCCTTCACAAAGGTCCTCGAGAGCGGGCTCGGGCAGGAGAACGGCATGGTCTCCGGCCACCAGCGCGACGTCGACGACACCAGCGGGATCCTGACGCAGCTCGCCAGGGACACGGAGGAGCTGGCGCAGTGGGAGCGCGAGTGCTTCAGCCGGGAGCTTAGGCGGTGGCACCCGTTCCCGGCGGCGGTGGCCGCGGCGACCCTGCACGGCTGCTACGGCGTGGTGCTGAAGCAGTACCTGGGCAAGGCCGTCTGCCTGACCGACGAGCTGGTGCGCGTGCTGCACGCGGCGGGCAGGCTCGAGAAGGCCCTAGTGCAGATGGTGGTGGACGACGACGGCGAGCCGGTGGTGCGGGAGGTGGTGCCCTACGACGTCGAGTCCGTCGTGGTCGGCTTCCTCCGGACGTGGGTCGAGGAGCGGCTCAGGGTCGCCAGGGAGTGCCTCCTCCGAGCCAAAGACACCGAGGTGAGCTTGCCTCCATTGATCACGCATGTTCATGCTCCATTCCTGCAAAGTGTCTCAAACTAACTCTGTCGTGGCATGGCATGGTCACGTAGAGCTGGACCGCGAGGTCCAAGAATGAGCCGTACGCGCAGTCGGCGGTGGACCTGATGAAGCTGGCCAAGGCCACCCTGGACGAGTTCTTTGCGATCCCGGTGAGCGCGAGGGACGGCATGCTGCAGGACCTCGCCGACGGCCTCGGCGCCGTCTTCCAGGACTACGTCTCCTTCCTCGCCTCCTGCGGCAACAAGCAGAGCTACCTCCCGCCGCTGCCGGCGCTGACGAGGTGCAACCAGGACTCGACGATCAAGCGGCTGTGGAAGAGGGCGGCGGTGGCGCCGTGCCGGGCGCCCCTGACGAGCGGGCGCGGCAACGCGTCGTACCACGGCGGAGGCCAGAGCGTGAGCGCGGCCGGCGGGCACAACCCACGGCCGTCCACCAGCCGCGGCACGCAGCGCCTCTACGTCCGGCTCAACACGATCCACTACATCCTCAGCCACATCCAGGCGCTGGACAAGTCGCTCTCCTTCTTCTCCGCGGGCGGGGGAGCATGCACCTCGCCGTCCACCACGAGCCGGCTCCTCGCCGCGCCGTGCTGCCACTTCGACCACGCGCGTACCGCGGCCCAGACGGCGATCGCCCACGTGGCCGAGGTGGCCGCGTACCGGCTCATCTTCTTCGACTCGCACCACTCGTTCTACGACGGCCTCTACGCGGGCGGCGTGGCCGACGCTCGCATCCGGCCGGCGCTCCGCACGCTGAAGCAGAACCTGTCGCTGCTCGTCTCCCTCCTCGTGGACCGCGCGCAGCCGGTGGCGGTGCGGGAGGTGATGAAGGCCTCGTTCCAGGCGTTCCTGATGGTGCTGCTGGCCGGCGGCAACCACCGGAGCTTCACGAGGGAGGACCACGGGATGGTGGAGGAGGACCTGCGGAGCCTGAAGCGGGCCTTCTGCACGCGCGGGGAGGGCCTGGTGGCGGAGGACGTGGTGGAGAGCGAGGCGGAGGTGGCCGAGGGCGTGGTCGCGCTCATGGGGCAGACGGCGGAGCGGATCGTGGAGGAGCTGAGCATCGCCACGACGACGACGACGGCGGCGGCGTGCGGCGGGTCGCCCCGGGCCGCTCTGCCGGTGCCGCTGACGACGAGGCGGTGGTGCCGGACGGACCCGGACACGGTCCTCCGCGTGCTCTGCCACCGCGACGACGAGGCCGCCAGCCAGTTCCTGAAGCGCGCGTTCCAGCTCCCAAAGAGGAGGTGACAATAGGCTTTGCATGCACCACTATTTGCAGCCAGGTGCAGACTCTAATTTGTGTGGACAAGTGGATTATGTGTGTGTTGGAAGCAAATAATTGATCGCTTGAAGCGTTTGCAAATATAGTTCCCATTTTTCACTGCAGGGGAAGAGAAGTTTGCCTGATACTATCTGAAATTTTCTGCTCTTTCCTCTTGTATTGCAGATGCTAATGCATCATCTCAGATGTTAATAGGAATCCTAGGTCCATATTCATGTGAGCTACAGAGTTATATGCTTGCATGTATGCACTAGTGATGCTAATATTAAGCCTCCAATACAGACAGTGTTGTGAGGTTCCGCAGATAACTGAAGTTCAGAACATGAAAAGTAGGCAGGTACAGTTCAGAAAGGTGAAAACGAACTCAAATGCAGCAGTACATTCTACCTCTATTATTGACAGAAGGGTGACATAATACGTAGAACATCATATCGACAATGCCACAGAAAAAGAATACCATGCTATATAGAATGCTGAGATGTTTACAGACACATAAAAGAATAGAAAGCTCTCTCTCCCATGGAGCAATCTCTCACTCACTCACTCACACTGTATCTTCTTAATTCACAGCTCTTACTTTCTATCCCTCTGCACAGAAAAGCAACCATCCACCATTGTCACCCACTGTCGACGAAATACCGCCGGAGTGGAAGGAGATGAAGATCCATCACAACCAAATCCAAAGGAGCACCATCGCAACCAGAGTCGCTTGTCGGTCGAAGAACACGTCCACCGCGAATGTGAAAAGACTAGCCTCGCTGATCAGACTAACCAGAGAGGAACACGAGCCATCGACCTTCCGGCGCTTCCCAGGCAAGGAAACCACTGAGATGGTGGGAGTCGAGGCAAATTTATTCGACGAAGTGACGCTGTCGCCGTCATCGAAGCCGTGAAACTATTCTTATGTTTTTGTCCCTCAAGTTCCTCAAAAAAATAGACTTGTTTTTCAAGATTTTTTAGGTATATATTTTGTCCTTTAAGTCTCAAAACCGGATAAGTATGGTCCAAAACCTGATTTTTTAGCACATTGACTGGGGGTTGACTAGGTTTGACCAAGTTCGGCCGGGCTTGACCACGTTTGACCGATGGACAGTAAATTTCAAAAAATCTAAAATTTTGTGACAACCAACATGCTTGGGTGCGATTGGTGCGTGTAAATGTTTGTGGTCAAATAACATCTGAGGAGCTCTAAAAAACAAATTTTGGCTTTTTTAGCCAAAATTAGTTGTTGTTTTTGCCACGAGATCTTCGAATGTTTTTTCTTTTTTTTTGCGAGGAGATCTTCGGATGTTGAAACACCACACAAATTTCCATGCACCCAAGCATCTTGGTTGCCACAAAATTTCAGAGTTTTTTTATATTTATTGCTATTTTTTTGAATTTACTGTTCGTTCATCAAACCTGGTCAAACCCGGTCAAATCTGGTTAAAATCTGATTTTGGACCAAACTTATTCGGTTTTGAGACTTGAAGGACCAAATTATACCAAAAAACTTGATAAATCAAGTCTATACTTTCGGGGAATTTGAGTGACAAAAACATACTTATTCCTAAACTATCTACAGGCCGAAGTAGAAGCTCCCACGGGCTGCCGGAGCAGCAGATGGAAGCAGGAAGATCCCACGGGCTCGCCGCCGGCGGTTGAAGATGGGAAGTGGATCCTCGCGCTGTTCGTCGCTCACCAAAGAGAAAACTGGATCGTGGGGAAAACTGGACAGTTTGTTCAGGTGAAGGGAATCCGTTTGCAGATAACTGAATGAAAAGCAGGCAGGTACAGTTCAGAAAGGTCAAAACGAACTCAAATGTACATCACATACTGATTATTGACAGAAGGGTGAAACAATAATACATCATATTGACAATGCCACACAAAAAGAATACCATGCTATATAGAATGCTGACATGACATGTTTACAAACACATAAAAGAATCTCTCACTCATGGAACAATCTCTCACTCACTCACTCACTCACACTGTATCTTCTCTCTTAATTCACAGCTCTTCTTTCTAGCCTATTTCATCATAATTCAGGAGGGCAGTTCACCATTTTCATCATGCCAAGTTCTGCAACGGGTAAAAACATCGTGAGCACCACACATTTGGAGCCCGCAAATGCATCAACCAAAGCTCAATTCGCTAAGGGCTCACCTGCCCAAATCTGCTCCTGGTCTTCATGAACCCGCCTCTCGTCACCGAATCGTCAGGGCCGCCCTTGGCGCCGCTGCAGTTCCAGTAGGCCCCCACGGTGCCCAGGATGGGCATGTCGTCGGGGCTCGGGCTCGGGGACCGCGACCGCCTCGGCGACGAGTTGGCCGACGAGATCTTGATGTCCTCCACGGTGAGGGCGCCGAGGATGGGCCGGTCCTCCCGGCTGATCGGCGAGTAGGACCGCACCGAGTAGTTGCTCTCCGGCGTGCCCGAGGAGCCCAGCCACGTCGAGAGGCTCGCGTCCACCGACGCCTCCTGCTTGCTCGGCGTCCTCGGGGTGTAGTCCCAGCTCCCCGCCGGCTTCTCTTGCTTCATGGCCGGGACGGTCGCCGGGTCGTCGGAGAGCGTGACCAAGTTCTCCTTCTCCGAATCCTTGGGCGCGGCGGTGTGAGGCTTGGTGGCGTCCTTCCACTGGCTGAAGCTCTCCACCGAGTTGAACACCTCGGCTGCGGCTCCAGTCTGGCCGGCGCTGTCCTTGGTGGTCTTGGGCGCCGGGAGCAGGAAGAGCGACTCGCACGCCTCCTCCTCGCCGCGCGCGATGCCCAGCAGCCCGCCGTGCTCCTCGTCGTCGTCCACCGCGCACTCGTCGATCCCATCCAAGCCGTCCTCCTCCTCCTCGTCGTCGTCATCGTACTCATCGTCGTCGTCGTCGTAGCAGTCCTCGTAGTCGCTGTCGTCGTCGGCGCCGGCGCAGTTGCCGTACCTGTGGTTGAGCGGGAACGCCTCGGATTTCGCGCACTGGGGCCCCAGCAGCGTCCACGCCCCCTCGCCGCCCGCCGCGGCGCGGCCCTCCTCCTCCTCTGTCGCGGCCTCCTCGCCCTCGGGGATCGGCGGCGCGTCGTAGGCCGTCACGTTGGGGTCGAACGTCACCTTCTTCTTGGCGACGACGGCCAGGCACAGATCATCGGCGGAATCCCTAATCAACCAGAAAAAAACAAACAGAGATCAAATCCCTAATTTATAACCAGAGAAATGAAACCGAAATCGATCGGCCAACAGCAGCCGGTCAGTGAGTGAGACCAGCTGTAACACCGGATGGGACAAGGATCGAACCTGAGCTCGAGGAGGGTGGCGAGGAGCGGGGCGGCGTCGGCGTCGCGGTGGGCCTTGGAGGGGGAGCGGGAGGGGGAGCGCTGCTTGCGGCGGCGGTGGCGGCGCTCCTTCTTGGACTTGTCGCCCCCGAAGCAGCCGAGGAAGCAGCCCATGGCCGGCCGGGGGGCGCGTCGGTGGCTCGTCGGCGCAGGCGAGCGGGAAGCGGCGGCGGCGAGGTGGATGTTTGGGGTGGGGGAGACGGAAGAGAATGTGGGCTAGGAGTAGTAGTGAAGGGGGCGCGGCATTTGGGGGGGAGGGGAGAAGCTGCCGTTGGGGGAAAAGGGCAAAGCCCGAGTGGTAACGGTCGTGTTGACCCAGCTGGCATGTGACCGTTGGATGCGCGGACGGAACGGATGGGATCCCATGACGGAGCAAGGAATCCGAGGCCGCCACAATGGGCCGGGCCGGGCCGTCGGAATCCTATGTGCGTTTGTGTGGCGGGAATTGCGTCGCACTGCATGCAGGCCTGTGGCATACATTTACCCTTTTTTTTTCTCTTAAATTTGTTTTACTCCCCTAAAAAAAACTTAAATTTGTTTTACCCTTTTTTAGCATAATAAAATAAACCTTTTTGTGTGCGTAGCATTTAGCTTTCTTGTACTAGTTACACATGTCAGGATACTGATTTACACAATATCAGCACACAGACAGAGTGCTAAAAAAGGTGTCAAAAATGTATGATAAGAAAGCTAAATGTAAGACATTTTGAGACTTGTAAATAACGTATTATACTTACAAGTCTAAAACATCTTATATTTATGAGCAGAGGAAGTGGTAAATTACTGAGCTCTGAGCAAGCTTATATTCTGCCGGAGAAGAAAAAAAAAGAGGTCCCTTTTGATAAGAGTGAACTGCCTGATAGGGCACATGAATGTGACAAACCTTGCACTTTGCAATTACAGCATCCATTGATGGCATCAATCAATTCATGCAACAATAATGTTAACCGTGTCATGGCAGCAACAGACACACACACACAGGAACATCAGCTAGTTAGTTAACATGCCAAGAGGCAGATACTATTGACAAAAATCGGTCGCAATTCCAGCCCCGCAAAAATGCCCGTGTCTGATTTCTAAGAGCATTTTGCTTATCACACATAACGTTACTCGTCAGGAAGAGAGCAAGGCTGCTGCTGCCAACGCTGCGGGTCCCTTTTTACCCTTTCTAACTGCTGTGTGGTGATATCTCAAAATTCTGACGCAACTTCCTGCTGCTTGCGCATTCAACAGATTATATGGGCTTCGTCGTCGCCAGTCCTTGCTAGGTCGCAGCCCTGACTTGCACTACATGAGATAGTTTGAGCCTGTTGGAGTGAACCTTTTTCTATACAAGACTGTTAGGCCAATGCATAACATTAAGATACAGCTCTTGCTAAACACTCATACTCTCCACCTGCGCAAGATGCACCGGAGATTCAGCACTGCAATATTTACATGACTGAGCATATGCAAGTATCCAAATAATCATCATCCGAGTCACTTGAATCACTGCAAATTGTCAAAAAAAAAAAACAGATGGCAGAGCAATTAGAGGAAGAAAATCAAGACAAGCAAATGTCAGCATGGACTCTTTTTTTCTTGTGATGGGTACATGGACTTTCTTGAACAACCAACATAATGACAGTCCAATGAGACCTTTTTAGATACCACCTCTTTAGATGCATGGGGTTATTAACGTATTGTATCTCGGCCAAGATACTACGATTCCAAATGAGATCATTTTCTATTAGCACATACATCGTACCCAATGTGGATTCTACTGTCAGTTGATGCCAGCAGAAAGAAAGACTGATGAAACAAATTATTTATTACGCGCCTGCAACTTCTAAAGCCTATAAAGGTACTGGTCATTTAAAAAAAGCAAAATGTGGAACTGTAAACTGATCACCGAGGACTAAAGGGTGCAATAAATATGCAACGGCAGTCAGGTGAAGTAAATATACTGAGAGAGGGAGAGGGAGAGAGAATCATATGCCAACAAGTTTCACTGGGATAATTAATGTGTAATATACTAATACTGCTGTGATTATACTGGTCTATTTCAAAATCTTTTAATACCATCTAGCATCCCAAAAGAGAACAACATTTTCAATTAACACATATCATCGCACCTTATGTCGGTTCTATTATAAAGCTGGTGCCAGTACAAAGAAAGACAACTTGAGGTAATTAAAGTTCTTACAGAAGTATACTTCAGCGGTAAAGATTACGGTCCACTGTAACTTACAGACTGATAAAACAAAGTATTCATTATGCCTCTGCAACTCCAAAGACTATAAAAGGTACTGCTCGTGTAAAAATAAGCAATTTGGAACTGTAAGCAATTACTACACAGTGCGACAAATGAGAACCCTGTCCCTTGTTGGGGGTCGTATGGAAAAAAAGGTGAAGCAAATATCTTGAGAACAAAAGAAGTCATGTGCCAACAAGTTTCACTTGGTTAAACTGAACTTACACCGAACAAAGATGTAGGGTAGGGTACCATCACGGACTAATCAAAGTGTAACTGTGAAGAACATAAACAAGGGTTTCCTAATATCAATATCAAAGTAACAGAGCTTACCTAAGCTTGTTCAACTAAGATCAGATTACAGTTGTGTAATTTCATGGTTGTTAAAATAAATGAATGTTCCGATGCAGATTAATTTGGACTAATGGAATGGTGTTGTGTAGGCGGAAACAGGGCATTTTCATGTGAACTGTCCTCAATTCATAGGGTGGTCCAAGTCCTCAGTCCTGAACCGCCAGATATCACATATTACCTCAATCCAACAATTAGACTGCTATATCACTAAACTTGCTTGCAGCGTAACCGAATTTTGCATCCAGAAATGGTACGGATAAGTTAAACATTTCCTGTTCCAATGCAGGAGGCCTTAGAACAAGTTACATAACTACAGCTGTTATGAAAGGAAATAAATAAACCATACTGTATTGCCACTTTAATTACTGTTTCCTTGTTAGGTATATGTGTCATCAATCCTAGGTTTTTAACGAAGTCTACGTGATGGGTAGGGTAAAGGTCCGAAGAGCAAGGATAGGGCACTAGAAAACAGTGACAGGGATAATCCCTGGCGTGGAAGAGAGGCTTCTGAATGGGATAGGTTTCCACTTTAGCTCCTAACAGTATAATGTATAATTGCCCAATTTACTGAAGATAAATCATAATAATCAACATTAATAATTACATTTGGATCTAAATTTATTAGTTGAACATTTGAGGAATCAGATGTTCGATAATCTACTGCTAATTAGCATTAATATGTGCAGACCCACCCCAACATGCATAATTAATAAATACATTTTGATAAACGATGAGGTTCAACTCGTCTAAATTTTCAATAAAATTGCCAAAAGTCTACTGATACTGATCAAAATTTCAACAATTTGTTTAATCAAATCGCCAAAGTCTACTCTCAGAAAATAAAATCGCCAAAAGTCTACTGATCATGGCTTGACTAGAAATCAGAAACTAAAGTTCAAAAAATAAGGAACTAGCATACAGATTGAATTATATTGCCAAAAGTTACAGTAACAACTGAGAAACATATACAGACCACCTTCACATATGACAGCACATATCATTTGTATGCCTGTAAGAAGAGCGTGCCAAAAGTAATACTAGACCAATACACAGTTTTTCTTATAGGCTAATGGAGACATAATACTGCCACTGAGGCCAAGAAATGCAGCAGCCTCATCATAAATTCTCATCTTTTTCCACTTTGAAGGGCTGTATCATTTCCAGTCCTTGATACATCAATAATGACCAATCTCTACTCCAACAAATGGTTCATAATTGCGCACCAGCACGATTATGGATTAGTTGCCTAAGACTTTGTGCGATCATTTTGCAACACCAGTTCGTACTTAACTTTTACGGCACCACAAGTAGAATATGTTTCTGTCCAATCAGTTCACGGCGGACTCGGGGTGATTTATAGGTCAGGTAAACGACAAACTAAAACTGAAATTATAGCCACATGTTACTTCAGAAGAGTTCAAGGGAAGCATAGACCCCAGTTACTTGAATTGGATGTTGAAAAGCCCCCAGGCACAATAATTCAGTTCACCTAGCAAGCTGAAATTGGCAGATTGTGACACCCCAAATGGATCACATGATCACATGTTCTAAAGTGGTATCCTGGCAGGATACATATCATTTGATCACCGAACCTCGTGACTACAGCAATCATTTCCCCCTTTCCTGCTTGACAAGAAACGCCCACCTAAGAGTTCCAACTATCCAAGCAACCCCTATGCAGCTAATTTGGGTAGCCAAACAAGGAAACATTGCACGGAACTCATCGGCATCGGCATCGGCATCATGTAGTGCAGGATCAAAAGAAGCATGTTGCATCTATGTAACACATTTACGGCAGCACAAAAAATAATATTGAAAGGATGCACGGAGGTTGCTTGGTTTGCTCACCTAGGCTGGAATTCCAAGACCTCGGCGAGCTTCTTGCCGTGGGTGTCCTTCCACTGCACCCGCCGCTTGGGGCCCTTGTAGGCCTTGCGGGCCGTGCCGCCCTCGGGGCGCCGGGGCAGCAGCGCCTTGCGCTCGCCGACGTTGTCCTTGGAGCCCCCCACCGGCGCCGAGGACGTCCGGTACACCGCCGCCTGCGCCGCCGCGGACGAGGGGGGAGGCGCCGGGTTCTTGCCGTTGCACGAGTTACTCCTGAAGGCTCGGCGATCCATCGCCGGGTGGCATCAACTCCCTCCGCGGCGCTCTCAGGTCGGGCACCTCCGGCCGGGCTCCGGCTCGGGGGCAGGAATCCAACCGAATTGGATCTTTCGGGCCGAGGCAGACGCCTGGAGGGAGGACGATTCCAAAATGCCCCCAAGCTGATAAACAAAGACGGGAGGAACGGGAATCGGTGAATCTCGGGGGCGGAAAGGACCAGAGGAACCGAATCTACGGACGGCGAGAAGAGCGAACGGACCTGGGGAGTTGGGCGCGGAATCGGAGGGAGGCCGGCCGGGGAGATTCCTTCCGGATCGAGACGAGGCCGCGCGAGGGGGACGAGGAGGAGAGGATTCGGGGGGGTTGGATTGGA